GGCGGCAACAATACTACAGCGAGAATAAAAGTTACGGCTTCTTTCTTTGCGTGAACGTTTGGGCGGCGTTATGCAAATCTTCCGAGATCGTGACGTAGGTATGTGGGGGTGTGTTAGAACGAGCCGTTTTAGGTAGGCGTGGCTGACTCTTAACTTTTATAAAGAATATTTCTTTGGATTTGAGACTTTAGTCTTTGCAACTTTACAGATCTTCTTTATGCACCAAGAGCTTGTAACACTCCAAAGAGAAAGGAAAAATTGAAATCGCATCATATGACCCCTTTAAGTTGGAGTATAGTGACTACTGTTTGTTATGTTGCCTTAATTATGACGGAACTTTAATCTTTGCATGAACGATCCATTTAATACGTTTTTGGACAGATTGCTTTTGTCTGTAGGCTTTATAATGGGCCTAAATATTATTTGTCAGCACTTGTTTTAGTTGCATTTAGTGTACTTCACGGTGGCTCAAGTCCTCAGCTGTCTCTACCTCTTCGGAGTGTGAAAAGCTGGACTCACTCTAAAAGAATCTGTATGTGTGTATTCGTGTGTGTGTGTGTGTGTGTGTACACTCCTTCTAAGTGATACGCTGGCCATCAGCGTGATTGCTTTGAGGTAAGGTCACAGTCTCCTCTTCCCCCCTGAAACTCGGCCAGGTAGAGGAGAGTTAACCATGATACTCTAGTGGCAAATGGCCCACATCTCTGCACTCTCCTCTATCTTTTCTCACTCTTCGCTTCTCCCACATCCACCTGTCTGTCATTAGATGATGTTTGTCACTAATTTGGAACATCAAGGCAGGTTATTCTTGAGTCACCCATCCTTTTTTTTTTTTTTAGAAACATTCCAGAAGTGTCCAGTCGCATAATGACCCTGGAGGACAAGAGATTGGTGCAAAGTTACAACCACCTCCTTTTCTCAGATTAGAAACCCAAAGGAAGTGTCCTTAGCCTTCCCCTGACCTCTGCTCTGATTGGGCAGGCGACCTGTCAATCAAAAGCTCAAGGATGAGCCACACCCCTCTTCCGCACTCCACCCACACACCTGTCCGTCCTCATAGAGCTATAGAGCAGTGTGTGGATTGGGCTATGAATAGCAGACAGGCTGTAGCTGTGAGCTAATCCCCAGAAACCCCTTGTGCGACAAACCGTGGTGTATGTGAATGCCAGCGGCTGTGGTCTGGGGTATTTTTGGGGCTGTAACTGAACACCAGCACATATCGACCAGAAGTAAAGACCAGGGCCTTTATAAAATACAGATGAAGTGACATTTGGTTTATACTTGAGAGAATGCCGTCATAATTTCGCACAAGCACATACTACAGGCTACTGCTAAATTTCTCTCATTGTAAGCTCCTTTAACCTGTTAGTTAAGACTCCACAGACACACTTATTAAGCCCATCCGCTTGCCACTCCCATGAGACAGCAGAAATGTGGGTGTGTGTTTACTTTAGACAGATTTGTCCCAGAAATATAGCTCAGTCTGACAAAACCTTTCAGGGCATTTTGAAGCTAAAAAGCCTTCTTTATGTAAATCAATAAAAGTCTATGTTGTTGTAGAGGAAAGAGAAAATGAATTTGCAGTTGTATGGCGTCAGATCTTTATAGATATAACTGCATCAATTAGTATAAACTTGCCTCTCAGTTGCTCAAATGTTTCGCTCACACACACTTAGGAATCTTAACAGCTGCCGGACAAATGGTTGGCACTGGTTGATCAGAGCTGTATTAATTAAACATGCTGATTCACAAATAGTTCTGCTGTAAATACAGAGAAACCCTCCACCTTCCCCAGCTCCACCTGTATAGATCTGCTACGAGGTGATTCATGTATGCTATATGGGGTGTTATTTCATGTATGTTATATTTGCAGCAGCAATATTTCTTACATGCTCACAGCAGCATGTTGTGGATATTCCGCCAAGACCAAATACATTAACACTGTCAT